TTCTGCTACCGAAGCTGTAATGGAAACGAGCTAACGAGTTTTGAGCTGCTGCCATTTATTTCAGGGGGAGCATCATTCAGCGTAACTTTTCAGTACGGCATCTGCTTGCATTAAATGCTTGCAATACACTAACATTGTTTGCCATAAATGGAACCATGGTGCAACTGCGAAGCGCGCGAACTAACCTACCCAACCGCCAAACAACACAATTGTAAACATCTTAAATATATCAGGACATCCTATTAATTACTGTTAATTAAACGGGTGATTACTTTCCAGTGAGTTGTATCAGAGCATGTCAGTAAAAATTCTTTACATACCGGAATTACCCATTACTAAGACAAAGGTACACACTTCCAAAGGTTCAGTTGGCACTTGTCATATAAAGCAGACGACACCGTCTCAATATTCCGTATCTGCAGCTTACACAGAACTGCTACCTCGACCTTAATAGCGTTTTTTAAATAATGCTTGAGAAATGAGCATTTTCTTCCATATTTCAAATCATCATATTTTATTCCATCATAAAATAAAGCAGGAGAAAATCAGCTATTTATAACCTCCGACCGAGGGGCTGGGTGATGCCTTCGATGAGTTCAACGCTGTTGACTTCTTCAAGACCGGACAGCAGATTCTAAGGAAAAGCATGAAAACACCAGTACAACAAAAAATCATTGAAGTGCATCAAAATTTTCAATTTTACCTGCCAACGTTAAAAAACGTTCGACTTTACCTGCTTACATAAATACTCGATGCAAAAGAAAGCAAAGACTGAAAAACTTTTAAAAGTAAATATATTTAAAGCTGCTGGGGTGAAAATAACTGATAAGCAAGAACAGCAGAGCGCTATTTTAAGAAGTGAATATTATTAGCCATTCATTCAATTATGACTTAGATCTTCTAGCCAGAACGTATGCTGCATAAGAAGCTTTTGCATTCTCTGTTTGGCGATCAGCACTCAAGATCGATCCCCCATTGCTCGTTCAACTTTCCAGGTAATTAATGTCAGTTTCCTTAATTTTATAAAATTACTTGATACTT